TCATATTTTTGATCATACATGTAGAAACATGTTCGGAATTTATTTTAAACATCTGTTCACATTATATCTTATAAAGTATAAAGGACAATGATGACACACGATCACAACTCCCTGTTTTCACAGGTCTTATCTGCTCATAATTCCTACTGTTTTAATGTTCTTTTGAGAATTATCCTTGATCGTTATCTTCACAGGAAATATACTTTTTGTAACATGTTTATTTGAAATGGATAGAAGAGTTTACACATTTCATTTGACTGCACTTCACATTTATGTATTTTATTTTTTTTCTTCCAACAGTAATCACAAGATTAGTTGTTTAACGTCCCTTTGAAAATTTTTCACTCTTATTGAGTCGCCACCACTAGCCGGTGTATGACTGAAAATTGTACTCGACGTTTCCGACCTTTGAGCAGCGAAATATCTTTTTCTTGCCAGCACCGACTGTTGCAAAAGACCTCCGTTTATACGTTCTTATCCGCATTATCGGTCTCAGCGTATTGAAGAGGGAGACCTATGATGTAAGGTCCATCTAAATACTCCAGGACTCTGGAACAAACGCTTTATCCACTGCGCCACGCGGGCAAGTTTACGAATGAACAGCTAGTTTCTTACGAAGATATATAAAAGTACAGTCCCTGAAACGTTCTACTTTCCCACTTGAACGGTGAGCGAACGCTGAACGAACAGTGAACGAACGCTGAACGAACGGTGAGTGAACGATGTGTGAACGCTGAACGCAATTTGGTGAACGATGTGTGAACGCTGAACGGTGAGCGAACGCAGAACGCGAACGGAGCGCAAACGCGAACGCAAAGTGAACGGTGAACGAACGGTGAACGCAAGATGAACGATTTATTCGGAATGCCTCTGATCTTTTCCTTGCATTGAAACTATTCTATTGTATTCTAATGTCAGATGCCAAAAAATAAGTAAATAAACAAATCAATGAATAAATCAATAAAATAAATGCTACAAAATTGTCCTAAGAAATTAAAGACGATACATGCACATTAAGTAAAACTAAGTTTGTTTTTTTTTTACTTGTATGATGTTTAAATTCAACTTTTTAATCACACGATTTTTATCGCTGTAAAACATTGTAATTGTTACGAAACACTGTAGTATAAAAGATAAAATTATTTTAGTTTGAAAATAAAATTGTTTCTTCTTATTTGATATAAAAAAAAAAAAAACAGTACAAATAAGAGAAAACTTCTGACTTATAGAATGAATTATAACGGTTGTAACATCCATTCATTTATATTTCCGTGCCAAGGCGATTCCGTGTAAAATAATGAGAAAAAAAATTAACAAAGGTCTGTGGACGTCCTGCATAAATACACTCGCATTCTAGATTTTAATGCAATAATATTTTTATGTGTCATTTCTATTTTTTATGATGATTTATTAAGCAAAACTTCTACATGTACATGTACCTGTAGACGTTTCCCCGTGATTATACTCGGAAGAGATTATACATACTCATACATATTCATATTATTTGTTATAGATTAAAATTTCAGAACTTGATATTTAAGCAATTTGCTGTCATAGTTTTTATCAAGCAGACAAGAAAGAGAGAGAGAGAGAGATTCCGTTTTACCCCCCCCCCCCTTTCAGGCTTCACCAAATGTTTGTACCGATATCAAACAAAAATTCTTCATTTTTGTCTAAATATATCAGGCAATGAAAGAAACTTTTTTTTTATCAACAAATCCATTTGTTTGACAGTCGTACTCGTTTTTTTTCCTGCTTCAAGTTCACACGAATCCACGTGCTTGTCCTGTCAATCAAAATCATTCGATACTGTGCAGGTGTGAAAGTCTTGTCAAACGGAAGACGAAGAGCTAGTATCTCCAACAAGTTTTAAATTTTTTTTAATCATTTATAGATTTGATTCCAACATTTCTAAGTAAATTAATAATTAAAATACATTGGGCATTAACACTTGAAACATACTCCCTGCCAACTTAAAATACCACCGCCGACACGTGTATATTTTGAATTACTATTGTTTATTGACTTTTTTAAATGCATTTTTATTTAAGAATGAAATTTTTATGGTACAAAACACATTAACTCCTTTTTAAATGTTTATAAAATATACGGGAAATACTAAGTAACCGATTTAGGAGGGAAAAAGGGGGGGGGGGGCTCTTAATCATATCGAATGGCAAACATATAAAGTTACATTGAAGGAAGAATTTATTACCTCTATAACTAGAGACTTTATATTATAATAGTAGAGAAAATCTGTAGTGTACTACATTTAAAATAAAGATTTTTTATAACCACACTATCACTTTAATTCGCTCCAAAGATATTTAATTAAAAAGATATCCGCAGTACTTTGTATAATTCTCAGAACTGGTTCTATCATGTATTTCTGTAGTAATTATAAAAAAGAAATATGTGTCTATTAAATAGAAATAAATATTTTTAATTTTGCTGCAGTGTTAGAAATAAATATTTTTGTAATTTTGCTGCAGTTTGTAACTTAATTAACTAGGATAATTATCTCTCCATTAACGATCTGTCGTCTATAACATAACAACAAAATGTTTCAGTGCTTGAAGTATCTATATATCGCCCGTATTTCAATTAAATTTTTCAGCATCGTTCTACATACATGTAGGTACATACTTATAACAACATTTATTTCCCAGAGTAGATTAATAAATAACCTTACAATTAAGTTAGAATAATGAAAAAATAATGTTAGAATATTGTGGATATATTTTCCAATGAGATGACGATTCTTTAAAAACGATATGTTAATTAATAAATTAAAAAAACGTAAATCCTTACTTACAAAAAGATAAGTCCTTTCACTTCGGAGTTCCGAATGACCCTGAAGACTGAACGATAAGTGAACGCTGAACGCAGGGTGAACGCAAAGTGAACGAACGGAGAGTGAACGCTGAACGCTATGTGAACGGTGAACGCGAGCGCACGGTGAACGCAGAACGCAAAACTGTGAACGGAGAGCGAACGGTGAACGCACGGTGAACGAACGGTGAACGCACGGTGAACGAACGGTGAGCGAACGAAAAAATGGGAAAATAGAACGTTTCAGGGACTGTACAATTTATTGCATGATGCACATTTGATCTTCCTCGCAATGTTTATCTGTTTTCGTGTACTTCTATAAAGAAGTAAACGCCCAAGACAAAACCATTCTATACCTAGGCCATTGTTAATTATTTCTTAACAAATCCGATTTTTTTCTATTGAAGATTTGTGTATAATAGAGATCGTTATTGCCACCGACCTGCAGTGTACCAGTAATGGAGATCTAGCTTGGTAGCTTTGGTAAATTTTGATAACAGCTCTGTGGAATTGATCAAGTCCTATCTCCTCTGGAGTGCCATGAGCTGGCCAAGCTGTGTAATGGAACTGGATTATTGTTCTCAAGGAGTTTGACTGTAATGAAATTACAAAAATAGATCTACATTAACGTCTTGGAAACCGCCAAGTAAGACATTCAATATCTTTTCAAACATAAATAAGTAAACTTTAAGATAACGTTTATAAACTAACATTGCCAATCTATATTTCTTCTAGGTAGCGCTTTTATTTAATGTAAATTCAATACTTAAAGTGGTGTATGTTCCAAAGATGTTATGAATGTAAAGTATTTTAGACGTACGTTTTCTCTCTGAATTGAGAACTTCCGAACAGTAAAGAAAGCATAGATAGTTTCTTCCAAAAGGCGAATTTTGCATGGACCGATGTTCATAGAGTGATCTTTATTAGGCCAGTACTCCTTCCATTTGTTCTATAAAAATAGCTTGATTATGAATACATGTTATATTCAATTAAAACAATCATATAGGGCCTACAACAAATTGGGAAAAGAATCAAACATTAAAAGAAATAAGACGAATAAAACAACAAACGTACATAAGAAAAGATTTTCACTAGAACATCTGATTTATATCATACATCAGCATACCTTCCCATTTTCTACAAGATTTGTCAGCATAAGAACGCATTCAATATTCTCTTGCCATATCATTCTCCAAAAGTCAATTGTATTCTTCTGAGGACCTGTATGAAAATATAGGTTCATTTTTTTTAAATATTAAAGATGGATAACACTGAGGATCAACAGCTAAATATTTTAAATATTTATGCTATGGAAAAAAAAGTCCATCACAAAGAAATCAGGAATATTTTCTTTTAATATTCAAGTTTTCATATAGGATGGGTGTATTATTCTATAAAAATCGACTTGGGTGTAGGGCAAAATTAATTAATTTAGCCCCTTATCCTGAGGGATGAAATATTCCCCGTCGCAGAGCGGAGGTCACGATTTTTGTCCAGAAGGGGCTTACATATTCAATGTGTCCCCAAAACATTCAAAAAATATTTTTAATATGAAAAACAGAAAAATTGATAAAACCACCTTTTGTTTTCATTCATCTAAATTCAGCACATTATTTATATCGAATGGCTTATTCTGAACGTTGCTTGTAGTGCTAGCGCTTCTCCAAATTGCCATGACTCTATTATTTGTATTTTCAATGTGATGTTTTGCTTATTGGAAGTCGCGATGGATTTATGTCATAAAATCAGGCTGCTAATCAGAATCAAAACCAATGATATGGTTGGAAAATTCCCTTTACTGGTCAATAGTTAATATTAAATGGCAGTCAATATTTCTTTTCAGAGGAGCAAATATCAATTATGTTAATTGCCTTTATAGAGAATGGGGGGGGGGGTTATTATTTAGTGAATATAAGAAACATTTATATTAGCGTCTAATTCGATGTCACTTTTAAATAAAACTTGATGTATTCGCATTTCTGCTTCCAAATAAACAGAAAAAAAATATTCTTGATCAAAGGAATGGATACTGAAACTGAAATAAACAGTAACACTACTCATGCGATGTGTTTGTGAAATAACTCACAGTTGATGAGACAAAATGTTTAGTTTACGTTAATAGGAATAAAAGACGAAAATAACAAAGAAAATTAATTTAAATCTGCTACCTTGTGTTGCAATGAAGCGATTTTCCCCGTATAAATCCTACAAAGATTAATTGAAAACAGCTAAATATAACAAATAGAGAAGTAAAACAAATGTATTTGATAACCCTAAAACAAAATATTACCCTAATATAATTTGCGTTTATATAGTCATCGTTATCTTTATTCCATTTTTCTTTAAGGATTACTCTGGAATGTTCATCTACAACATAAGTAAATTTTGCATTATTATTTTTTTTTGCTACGAATTGCATTGATAAAAATGTATACGTCAATATTAAATTTTGGAATACAAGTAGAATGCAGTGACTTTAGAATATCATTTGGATGTTCTTTTACTGTCCCATAAATGTAAAGGGATATTGCATTGTTTTCATATGAATTATTTAACTACATAATTGAATTGAAATTATTGTGACTGAAATAAAAGGGGAAAAGCTGAATTGGTTAGACATTCTTACAAGGAAATGTCGTTTTGAAACGGTTCTTCGTAATGTTTTCTTTCTTCTGGGCTGTGTGACAGATTTCTAGGTCTTCAGTTGGTAGTTTCTTTTTTTTTACGATAAAAAGAAAGTTATTTTCAAACTTATATCTACCGGCTAAAAACAATAATGCAAAAAGTACGATGGAAAGAACTGAGAATTTTACATACTTCTGGATCTTATGTTTAAGCTGCTACATAAGGTCTTATTAATCTGAGCGTTTTCAAATTCTTGATTTACAGTTAAGGTTTTTTTAATGAACAAACAATAAGTACATACATGTATGTAACATCCATTCGTCAATAGTATTAATGTATCAAATCTTTCTAAATATGTAACTAATATTCATGAAACAAGAATAGTCTTCCTTTCTCTTTAAACCTCTTCACATTTCACTGCAAAAATCTCATTCTACCTTATATTCCAGGTAAAACAAGGATTTTTCACCAGAACTTTTGGCTGCAATGTAACTCTGTAGTTCCTCTATTTTAACATCATGGCTGGTTTGGTTTGCGTTGCAATATACACCATCAGCAGCATAGTCCAGACTTGTCAATTGATCTTCAGGTGATGGTTGGGCCAAGTAACCTATGTATATTAGGTTGTATATATATATATATATATATATATATATATATATATATATATATATATATATATATATATATATATATATATATATATATATATATTTATTTATATATATATATATGAATGTATTTAATGGTAAGAAAGAATAAACTGTTTATTTTTTCTAACCATAAATATTACAATCCCTGATTATCACAGAGTAATTAAAATGCTCCCAATGCAGCAGAGTAAACTTGGTTTACTGCACATGAGAGTTGGATAAGTAATCTTTCCAATTTTATCTCTATTTGATTCCAACCAAAACTATATTACAACTGCTCACAATATAACATACATTATGTCGACAATGTTTCTAGATATAAGTACAGTGGATGCATTTTTTCTTTATAATTTCAAACAGCTGATGTGAGTGAGCCGTTTTGGTCGAACTCTGCGGAGACCAGTTATATATACTGAGAAGAATATAAGAGGGCTGTTCGGAAATCATTGAGACAATGTGTGTATTCTTTTTTTCTAATGAACGTCTTTCCCTGAAAATTTGCATATACTTTTGACAAATAATAAAAATTAATAAAATCAAAAAAATATTTTACAAATATTATATTTCTTCTTCTCTGAGGTATATTTAGGGGTACCCGGCGCAGTCACGATATCAGATGTTGAAAATATGTTACACCAACGTTCGAACTCCCGGTGGACTCATAAAGTAAGAGCGAAAATAATTTAATTTATGTATATAATTTTTCAATTTAATTTTGAATTATTTTGTGCAAGTTTCTTAGAATTTCGATCAGAAATACGGAGATCATAAATATTTTTTTAGCGCGGCATAGAAATCTGAGAACGACGACAAAATGGAATTTGCCGACAAGGCGGTGCAGCGAGCATACCTTTAATTTTGTGTAGCGCTATGGAGAACTCTTTTCCAGACTAAACGACCTGCTAAAACAATAACAATGCAAGATATGTGTCTAAGGGTTTTATTTTTTCATTGGTATATATTTTATTCTTACAAAATATTCAACAAGAGTAAAAATAGAACCTCCAGACGACCATCAATTATTACAGACTAAAATAGCGTTGACCCGCTGTGCAAAAATCGGTACTGTGTGATGCTAATTTAACCTGTATATGACACTTCATGTATTTTTTACACCGAGGTCGCAACACAATTTTTTTTTATTTTATTTTTTAAAGAATTGTTTAAGAAAAGAGATAGTTTGATTTTTTGAATGTTATATGTGATAACAGAGAAAGAAGAGTAAACGCTTCCCGATCGTTTCACTTGAAAAAACATCTCTGGCTTACGTGACGTTAAAATGACGAAGCGATGCTGCTCCAGGTCGAAAGACATATGCATGTTTATAATTTCACCGGAACCTGTCTAATTATCCTATAAATTAGAAATTTTGCACATTTCTTTTATTCGTTATTTATAAAATGTTGACGAAGTTTCATGAATGTATCTCTGGCCTTTATGGAGTAAAAGTAAATATCTCAATAATTTCCGAACAGCCCTCGTACGTCTGTTTTAACATTTTGTTATGAATAACTGAAAATAACCTTTTAAATCAGATGGTTTTTCTTTCTTGCTATCTTCACATCCCCCATCAGAAATCACTGTCGGGCGTCTTTTATCAGTTGATGCATTTTGCAAATTTCGACGTCTTCAAAGGAGAGTATATTCCATCATTTTATGAATAGATGTTCATTAGCAGAATACTTTTCATATTTTATTTTATTACAGGATGGAATTTTATGAATAAAATGAACCATAAGAGTCTTCCATAGGAAATGTTGAATATTTTTTTTTAAATTACAAAACGCCTTTTTCTAAACAATTGTGAAACTACATAAAACACTTTCTTAACAATATACCTTTTAAATACAACTATACAAATCACAAAACCCGCAGAAATAATTAATGCTATAAGGATCCCTCCAACAATCGATCCTAGGCTACTTTTTATATCCAATGATAATTCTAAAAGAAAGGTGATTGTAATAGTAAATAATTATTTATTATAAAATTAAAATTAATTATTTTTGCTACAGTGAATAACTGTTTTACAAAAAAAATAGGAAGGCATTCATAAATTAAAAGGTATCGGAAAAAGGTTTTTTGCTTATATTTTCAATTTGCCTTTATTATATTTTAGAATAATTCCAATGATTTTTTTAGGGAATAAGAAGCATTAGGGATTGTTATTAGCCATCGCGACACACACCATCACATCTGACACCTTTCCACTCCCCCTAACATCCAGTAGGACAGTGTCCGTTGCTTTTGTTACATGTACTTTGATTGCAATTTCCACAAGATTCACCACAACTGGATCCATAAAATCCATCTTTACACTCTTTAATGAATCATTTTAAAACGTTTATTTATTGATTTTTTTTGGCATCATCATATGCTCATTCGAAGCATTTGAATACCTTGCCTGAAACAACTATCAGAATCAACGATGCAAAGTATAATAGCTTTAAATAAAGAAGAAGACCCAAGATAATCTTCCATTTCTTACGTCGCTTTAAAATAAGTTACTGTCTCACATTTTTATTAAAACTGATACAGATACACGTAATAATAAATTTAGTTCTTACATAATTCAAGAGCATTGAAGTCGTTGACTCAAAATATCACCTTTGTAATTTTCTTTAAAACAAATATCTTAGACAATATTCTCGCTGAAATTTAAATGTGAATTGAATAGTATTAAATAAAGGGATAAAAAGATAAAAAAGGAAAAAATCATATTGGATGAATCTTGATATCAGTTTATCAATTATACATGTTATTTTCGCGACGAGGTGTGATACATTGAATTTTAAACTATTTCGCGATTTTACTGTCATATTTAACATGTTTAAGCTGATACATTTCAGAATCACAAACCATCGCAGTTAGAACCGTTCCAGTGGATATTGCACCCGTCTTCACAAACCCCTGTGACATTGTTGCAATATGTTCCAGGTTTACAATGACCGCATTTATTTGTGCAGTTCTCCCCGTAAAACCTATCATCACACATTAAAAAAGTAAAATATAATCATAATATCATATTACTAACTGAAATGAAATAAAAAATATAATAATGTTTATTTTTCATGTTTTTAACACGCAAGCTTAACAAAAAAAGTTCTTAATACAACAAATTTAACAACATTTATTTCCGTGTCAGACTATGAAAAATAAGATCAAGTCTTACCGTGACAACCTGATCCACTCCATCCATTCTGACAGCCTTCATGACAAATTCCTGAGATGTGGTTGCATACAGTTCCAATTTTACACTTGCCACACGTGTGGGAACAGTTTTGCCCATAATAGCCATCTTTAAAAGCTACAGCAAACGTTAACTAATCAATAAGCTTGCAATAGCAAGAAAAAAAACCTGATGAAAATAATTACTACATAAAAAAAAAGCATCTTTTCTAGATTGTCCATTTCATTTCTAAAATATATGTGCTTGGTGACATTAATATCCCAATTCAAGTTATCTTTTTATAAATGAAATATAAAATATTTGATTTTTTAACAAGAAAAACAAAACAAAACAAACAAACAAAGGAAGAACTCAAATCCGAATCAAAAGGAAAATATTGATATGAAACCTGAAAAGGTGACTTAACTTTTTAGTCAAGTAAGAGAAAATAACCCTCTTAAAATTTTAAAAAATAAATATATCTTTTCAAGTATATATTTTTTCATTTCATGTAGAAGTTTTTTTTTAAATAACATGTTCAGTAAAGGTGCAACTTTACTGAAATGTTTTTTCACGCAAGATGCTGTAGCTATTGTGTTTAGCAAAGAGAAAATAGTCAAATAAAACGAAATTACGCTATTATATTAACTATTTACTATTTGGTTATGATAAACATGGTATAGCACAATTTATAAATAAGGGTATCATGCGTGGTAACTTTTTTCAAACTGGGGGAAAAGTCAGATCATAATTGACAAAACAGAATAGCTTTCTGCGCAGATCACATGTGAATTAAGGCTAGGTATAGGCGTTTCTATGCAAATGAGCTAATAAAAAAAAGCATAAGAGGTCTATTTATTATTTAGAGAAAGTGTTGATTTATTTTTTTATGCATACTTAGTACCAACGATATGTTATAGCCAGTACACATTATGACGTCATATTATGACGTCACTGATCTTACCTACTGGATGTAATAAAACACATCAACAAAGCAGCTTTGGCGCAAGGAATTACCCTATTTATTTTTACATAAAAATTGTATAATGCTAAGAGGAATATTCTATAGATTAATATAACTGCTGCACAAATCCTAGGCATTTTCTCATTAGACCGGAATTTGAGGAAACTTATACCGGACTGTACATTTTTACCCTTATTCAACTTAAAACTTTACAAATTGAAATTACACAACTGAGCTGTTGATATTTGTGCAGCAATACCAGTAAACTTTGGAATCTTTTGCTTCTAAAAATACCTTGTTTCAGTTAAATAAAATAGAGCATGCCCTTGCGCTGAAGCATTTTTGTTGATATCCATTACAATCTTGTGTAGTAAAGAACAATGACGTCATAATGTGACATCATAATGTGTACTGGCTATCTCACTTCGTAGGTACCAAGTACATATTAGACAATAAGTTTTAACTTTCTCTGTAAAAAAGATATAGTCCTTAGACATTTTAATTAAATAATTTGCATAGAAATATCTACACCTTGCCTTAACTCACCTGCGATAGGTTAAGGACTCCCATATTTACGTCAGCCTATGCAGAGGTTCGGGAGAGCTATTATGATATCACGTTAAAACAATATCAAATGAATCTCGATGAATAAATACCGTATGTTCTTTTTAAACGCAGTCAAATACTTTCGTTTCTCAAAAATATTATAAAGATAAATAAAATGTGCAACTTATCTTGCCAATATAGCACTTAGCGTTTGTAGAATGAAAGCCAGCTTGATCTGCTGTACTTACTGAGATGACGTCATTTCTTTGTTTGACACGCAGTTTCTCTGTGATTGAGGCGTGGAACAAGATATTAAGTTTGTAAAAAAATAATCAATCTAAATTTAAAATGTATAGACTTTATATATAGCCGTAGAGAGCACATTTGTACAGTAACGTGCTAGAATGAGGGGTCCAGCCCCTCGAAAATATAAAAAAATTCAACGATATCTGCTTCACTATAAATTCTGAGTTTTTAAACATGTGTAGCTATTATCCATACTATTTTGAAAAGTGCTGAGAGCTGGTTGTGCAGTGTTCATATATTCCGTAATGTAACATTATTCCTGTGCGTATTACATCTATGTCTGGAGTTTTTAGAAAGACGTCTAAATTTTACGCATTTCCCGAGCACGAGGAAGTTGCCCCCAGCACTTTTCATGTTAAGGAATTTGTCTCAAACAAATCAGAATAAATTCTATAGAGGAAAGATACCCGTATATTGTTGAACTTCTACGATCTTTATAGTAGTACATATATGTTCTAATTTTAAACCTGTCACGTAACAACAAGCTGAGGTAAGCGATGTCGCTTTGGCCGAACTCAGAGATCCGATATATACAAGTGCAAACACCACAATTCACATTTATCAAGACTAATGCTGTTTTTAAAAAAAATATTAAAACTGTATTCATTTTCTTTGAATATATTCAGGCGTATATTTCATGGGCGTCATTAACCTAGCTGCGTAAAAAAAAATCCACAAGCATTAAAAAAAAAAAAACTTCGAAAACATTGTTAGACAATGCTGCAACAATTATTTATCTCCCTATACATTTTTTGTAAAACACATATCCTATTGTTCAAGAATTGTATACAAAATTTTGAAAGCCTTTCGACCCCCAGGTACTTTTAGAGCCACAGAACCGTGACATAATAAAATGTTTATAAAGTTCCGGATTCAAATAACCAAGAGTGTTCTACTGAAGGATATTTTAAAAAAAAATAATATAAATCACTTGTCATTGTTGTTTATATAACGATTTAGTACGCTTATGAAAAGTAGAATTAAACAGCGGTAACGTATATAAGCATATTTTTTATGTTGTTGTAAAAAAACCGGTACCATATTCTTCAGTAATTTTCTCTCTTAATATTTTATATATTTTGGTGTCTCAGAAAATATTATACCATTTCATGATTATGTTTTTTTTTATTTGTTTGTTTATTGTTTAACGTCCCTCTCGAGAATTTTTCACTCATATGGAGACGCCACCACTTGCCGGTGGAGAGCTACAAATTTTGACCTATACTCGGCACTCAAGGGCATTGAGCATTGAAGGATCTTTTTTCGTGCCAGCACCTACTGCGACACGGGACCTCGGTTTATACGGTCTCATCCGAAGGACCGGTCTCCACGTCCCACAGTGGGATTCGAACCCGCGACGTAAGGATCAACTCCTTACTCCGCGACTCTAGAGCGAACGCTCTAACCACTGCGCCACGCGGGCGACTTCATGATTATGTAATACAATGCTAATAATTCAATGTGTATACGGAATTATGGAATTGAAATATAATAATATGTATATGTGGAGTTAAAATATAAATTTTCTCACTAGAACAGTCTGGTGGATACACAAACCGCTCACTGCAGCCATATATACAAGATCCATCAAACGCATCACAATCTCTGTTTCAACAGTTAGCTGAACATAATTTACAGGGGTCTCCGAACTGTTGAAACTTACATCCTAGAGGAAACTAATCAAATGTCAATTCAAGTAGAGTAGAGACTAAAAAAAAAATCATTTTTGATAGATTCTTAACAAACTGGAAAAAATGTTTTGTATAACATCAATTGCCTTCCTGAAATAGTACAGTACTTACCCATCACCATTACTTCACAGACCTCAATAGTAGCAAATGACGGTGCGTATCCTTCGCAGCTTGTGTTAAGTGGAGGGTCCTTTGAATTAAATAGAGCTATTCCTTTCGTAAGTTTGTTAACTGTTACATTCATCACTTCACTTGGACAGGATGATTGATTCTGAGAGAAAATCTTATGTCCATTTGTAGATGGCGGTTTATATGATAACTCATTGAACACACACTGAGAATCCAGTATGACGATTTACAGCTGAAATTATAGAAAATATATGGCAATAAATATACATTATTCAAATCATGCTCTTAAATGTTGCCATCAAAGGGTAATCATCAAATATCCACATTACCTACTGCATTTATTTAAAGACCTACCTTGGACTTTTAAGAATTCTATATATCGTTTAGTAACATATGACGGTAAGAGTCGTACCATATTTTCAACAAGCATTTTTCTATAATATAGGTATTAGGACTTTATTACTTTTTAGAGAACAAGTTAATTCTTGTAGGAGAAATATCGGGCGGGATGTAGCCGAGGGCATGAGCTCTTGGAAGAAACATCCCATTATATCTATTTATTATAAAAATGTATTCTGAAGGACTTGTGACACCTTTCTTAGGTTTTGAGTACCTCACTGATGTGCCTTACTTATCAACCAATCATATGATTTTGAAACTCTTTGGTTCAATAAAAAGATATTAGTCGCCGTTAATTTAAGATACTGAGTGGAGGACGCAGTATGATTTGACAAATTATCCTTAAAATTGAAGAGGTAACGACATGTCCGTCAAATCGTGGATCTTTATGGTCTAAAACACAGTAACAAATCTTAAAGTACATCTATCTACTTCGCAGCACTTGTCAGGCTATGAAAGCATCAGCAAACTCTTACAATAATAAAAATGAAATAATGTGTGCTTTCAAAAAATACATCAAAACTTACTATTGCTTTCATTTTTGTTCAAGTTAGATCCAAATCTATAAGGTATATATATGTCAGTTATTACAATGTACTTGTTGACATGACGTCATGATGGTAAATTTTGAGGCATTTCTTGTGCAATTAGCATTTATGGGCTATTTGACATTTTTAATTAATATTCCATTAGTATTAAAAGTATTTTGCTGACATTAAAATACTTGAGCAACCTCCTATTAAAATTTGAATCCTGCGAACTGAAACAAAGACAATTTTAAATGTTCCATAATAGTTACCGATACATATTTTCAGCCTTTAAACTACTGTCGAGACACTTGAATTTACAGAGACATTTAGACTTTTAACATGTGTTTTGAAATTAGAAATTTGAAAAACTTTTCATTGAAATTTTCCGATTTACATGACAGTGGTGGAATTTTTGTGTCTGTATGAAACAGACTGAATTTTGTTGTTATCTAAATGAATCTTGGATGGAATGAAAGTGTAACCGGTTCGGTTTGATAAAAATTACGATAAAAAGTAGAAAGTAGCCTCAGATTTATTAGTAAATGGAAATTAGGCACACCTTCT